AAGCAGGAGACCAGAGCACATTAGGTTAGTTGTTCTGTCTCACTGCAGTCTTGATGAATAATTAACCACGCCCTGCCTGTGTAAATTGAACTCGTTCACAGGCGATGGCTGCTGATCCCAATGTCCAAACTGCATGCCAGTTTGCTCAAGAGAATGAAAGGAAGAAGGTCCAGGTTGGCACCAACCCACAACACTGATTCATAAAATGAAACCTCTGACATCTGCATAATTCTACTTCTTTGTCTAGATAGGAGAATCAGAATAACTCAAGGGCAAGTTTTCAAAGTAGACAAAATACTCATTTGTATCTGGATGAATAGCTGGGACTTCCACTTGCTAAGCATCCAGTAGTAAGTAATAAGAAGGAAAATTGGTCTTCATATGTCTGATTAGACTCAGAAAGAAAGAAAGAAAGCTTTGTCCTTGGAGTGACTGCTCTGAGACCACCTAGAACAGCCCCAACCTCAGGGCTGGCATCTCTTGTGACCAGCACCATCACACTGCTCAGAAGGGCACATTGCTTGTGGTCTATTGCTCTGTACTGTTGTCTTCAAATTCCTAACAACTTAAGGGCTGCAGATGTAGCTCAGTGGGAGAGTGCTTGCCCAGTATGTGCAAGGCCCAAGGTTCAATCCCTAGCACCACAAAACAAACAAACAAAAAAGGAAAAAATAAAGGCTCAACAATCAAAAAACAACTTGAATTATTTTTGGATAAGTGAAACGTGGGGGGACAGAGGAGCACATATGGGGGAGGGGTGCATCAGCTCCCACGAGGTCCCAGGTTTCACTTCCTTGCTGCCTTCCTATATTGGGTTTGTGCACTGCAGTTTTGTGGCAAGGAAATGAAGCAGCCATCCCTGCCCGGGGCTGGCAGAGCCATGGTGTGTGTCATGGGTGACTTGGTGAGAAATTTACCCACCTTGAATATTGAGCACTTCCCAGTGTAGAAGTGGTAATCCACTGGGTCTTGTCAACTGTCTGCTGAGAGTCTGCTGAGAGGCCATGGAAGTGGGAATAGGTTTCCCTTTTCCATAAGGGCCCTCCATTTTCAGTTTTCATGGGGCCCCACATATTATGTAGTTGAACTGGCTTAATCTGCTCAGCATTAGATAGGTCAGCATCCTACAGAGTTAGGGGTGCCCTGAAGAGGGAAATCAGAGTTCAGTGTCTATGGAACAAACCATGACAGAACAGAACTCTGTTCTGGAACAGTGCAAAGATCTGTCTGTCCCTCAAAGTCTTTCCTTCTAGCGTTAAGTACCACAACATACATAAAGAATCTATTTTCTGTGTTATGTAGACAAATTACTTAACTTTTCTGGGTCTCAGTACATTATTCTGTCATTTAGGAATAATAAGACCCCTGTCATAAACCTAAAATGAGAACATAGGTAAGTACTCAGAACAGTGCCAGAGACTAGTAGCTGTTAAATACATTTTAGTTGCTATATTATGATTATAATTCATTGCAGATTCTGAAAGCAGCTGCCAAAGGATTTTGGATAATACTTTCAAGGGCACACATTCTAATAAACTCATTTGGAATTTCAGTCTCCAGGGATTTGTAGGGGGGCTCTCAAATTTGCTAGAAATTTTCAGGAGAGGAAAAGAGCTCTGGTAGAAGAAAATTATATCAGGAGAATAGGCCTTGGTTGTGTCCATCCTAATAGCACCTCCACAGTAGCTGCTTAATGGTGAAGTTGTGCAAGGAATAAGAGAGCACTCCAGGTGACAGATACTTACTCACTGTTTTGCTGGAATGATAGAAAGCAGAAGACTGAATGTGGAAGTCAAAGTATGCAATGTGCAGACCTGAACCACTCTCTGTAGTCAGGGATGGGCACTTCTCACAGCACTAACCTCCTGCTGGTGGTCATCACTAATGCTTTATTCACAGAACAAAGCAGGCTGCTGAACTTACACAGCTTGGTGCTCCTGTGGAAATACTCGAGTACTCTTTGCATTCCCAGAAAGTAAAGGAAGCTATTTGGCCCATCTCTATTCTTTTCACAAGTAGTTATTATTTTCATAAACATCATGAGCACTAGCTATGTATGTTTTTTAATCTTCTCCTTATAAGCATCAAACAAGGCAGCCACGCCCACTTTAGAGGTAGGAAAACTCAAGGCTCAGCTGAATTAAATGGTTTAACCAAGACTTTCCAGTTAGAGTTTCGATCCAGTTTTACCTGACTTCAAGATCCTGCATCTTATTTTAATCAACCCCAAAACTTCTCTCTCAGAATAAGTAAAGTACTCTTTGTAAGAGTAATTACAAGAGTAAATACTTGGGTGACTTCTGAGCACTGAATGTATGTTAACTCAATCCTTTCGACAGCCCTAGGAAGTAGGAGGAAGCTGAGGCATTTTACACAGGAGGAAACTGAGGCATTAGGTTAAATAAACTGGACAGTCATTCAGCCAGTAAATGAGAGTCAGAAAATAAATAAAATTCAATGTGGCTTCAGATTCAAGGTCAAACAATAGGCTACATAGTCAGAACTGTATAAAAGTATTAACTATAAAAGTACAATTTAATTTTCTAAGATAATATATGAAGACATATGTCCAGATGAATGTCCTTCAAAGTATTAGCTACTTGGGAGGCTGTGGTTTGTAGCCAGCCCTAAAAAAATAGTTCACAAGTCCTCATCTTTAAAATAACCAGAGCAAAATGGACTAGGCATGGCTCAATCAGTGAAGCACCTGCTGTGCAAGTGGGAAGCCCTGAGTTCAAACCCCAGTTGCACCCCTAAAAAATGTTTTTGCAATTTCAGATCCTGTGCATATAATGATGGTACTAATAGTAATAGCAGCTAAATTAGCTTTCATTGATTTAGTTGCCTGTCACTGTGTCACTGTTTTACATATGCCATCTTGTTTAATGCATATGAGAATATCAACAATCTATGGAACAGATTGAATTACTGAGGTCAAGAAAATTTAAGTAGTCTGCTCCATGTCACACAGCACTTACGTGATGGTTCTGGAATGAACTTGGTCTGAGTTCAGAACCCACACTCTTTACTATTAAACTAGCACGCTGTTCTTTTAGATATTTTTAATAGTGGTAAACTTTATCTTCAGAGAATAGACTGGAGTTGTAGTTGGCAGAAGTTAAATGGATGAAGCGCTGAATTTTATGTACTTGAGATTTGTTTTCAGTTAAAACTATCATTTGATGAAAATACAGAGTACTTTTTCTCTTGTGGATTTATAGATTATCTAATGTCATTTCCCAAAGGACAGATCAACACATGACTGGACAATGGCATCCTCATGGCAAGCACAGATTCTTGACTTTGGAGGGACATTTACTCACGGGCATATTTATACTTCAGCATAATATTATGGAATATTTGACACTGAGTGTTCACAGTGGAAATGGTGACCACATACATCCCACGTGCCTACTGGATTTGCAGCATGATACGTGCGAGCACATTCAAGCACCCTGTGAAGACAGGGGGAGTCCCAGTCCATTATGGTTACTGCCCAATTAGCTACTTCTTCACTTCAGCACTTTTCTTACAGGGAGAACATGTATGACTTTTAATGCATGACTCCAGAGGACCCTCAGTGTATATAGTTCAGTCCCATATGGGAACGTGCTGATTAGGGGATCCTTGGTGACCATCTGTGGGCAAATATATCCCTTCAGTGGGTGAGAAAGCTGACAATCTTCACTTTCCATAGTTTTGTGTAGGTGAAGACTAACTAATAACCTATTCTTTGCTTTTCCAGGCCTTGTTGGAGGTTACATATAGCGTCCTTTCTTTCCAATAAATAACTCAAAATTGGTTTTAACTTAATATATAACTCAAAATTAATTTTCTTAAGGAAGAACTGTAAGAACACCTCAGTTAGCCATGCTGGTAAAGAAGTTACTGCAGTAGGGGAGGGAGAAGAGGAGAAAGAGAGGGGAGGATAGAGGAAAGAAGAGAGAGGAGACTTCATTGCAAAATTTTAAACTGTAATTCTGTGAGGTGGCACCCCTTGAATTTTGTAGTGTGCTGAAATCCTCCTCTCCAAACTCAGAACACTATGGTGTTCCTAAGAAAAGGTACTTTCAACTGCTTCACCCTCAGCAAGCTCTCTTAACAGTTAAAAGCAAGCTTGTTGTACTATGCCATTTCTAGGCTTTTCCAAATACGTGCTTTACTTCACTCCTTGCACAATCTGTCAGACAAGTAGGAAGTGGCCTGTGATGAGAACTGAAATTTAAAAGGGACAACTCCTAAAAGTAAAATTTGTATCCTTCCTCATCTCTATTAAAAATTCCTTTCCATAGAGAACATTACTGAACATAGCTTCTTTGACAAAAAAAGCATTTGATATGGATGGCAAGGTCTCTTGTTAGAATTAGGAAGGAAATAGTCTGGGATGATCATTTCTGTCTTAAATGGAGAGAAATGGTACTTACTAATAGAACAAAACAGAAACCAAAGGGCGGAAAATGGATTTAGAAAAAAACCTAAATGGATGAGACACAGGAAATAACCTAGTAAACAGTGAATAACTGTAGAAAATGAGCCAGACGCACACAGACATGTACCGCATGACCTGTCTTTCATCTGGAAGCTAAAAAAGTTGACCTGAATGTAGAATAAAGATTAGTAAGAGATTAGGAAGAATGTGTGTGTGTGTGAGGAATGGCTGAATTTGAATGCTGTGTATATGTTTGGAAATACCACACGGACCCTTTTATATTACAATTAATCATGTTAATCAAAAATTAAAAATACTAAAAGTGATTTGTCTTATTACTAATTACAGTGGTTACTGTGACCTCATACTTTTTTAAATCCCAGGAGGAAGTACTTTATCTACTTTATACAGTAAGAGGTAAGACACACAAGAGAAGATAAGAGGTAAGACACACCACATCAGGAAGTGTCAGAGTTGAGGCTAGGCCCAAGGACCAAATCCCAGGTTCTTAGCCACTCCTCTGCAGGACAGGAGGTGGCATCTGGGAATGAATGATGGATTTTGTGATTACCATGGCTTTGTTGGAATGGCCACCTCCTTGGAACTCAATGGTCCCAAAAGCATCCGTTGGGCTGAGCTGAGTATGTTTGCTGATGGACCACTTCTCAGACTGGATGTCATTTCGGGAGAGGCGACTTTCATTTTTCTCATTCTGAAGCACAGAGATACTGGGAGTGAGTCCAACATGCTGGCCTATTAGACGACCACAGCAACACCTGTAACATAAGAGGTTAAAAGTGAACCTTTTGGATCAGCACTACTGGAATACACACTTCAGCCAGCCTATGGTAGAAACCTACAATTCATGTGACCCATGTCAATCACTTCTCAGGTGAGCTCCCATAAAGTGGAGAATGAGGCAAATGGTGAACTCAGGCTTTCTGTGACATACATATCTGCTCTTCTTTTCTCCTCTGCCATTTTCTTTTAGCTGCATAAGCTACAGCAAGTCTCCTGCCCCTCGCCATCCATACCTTTTGCACGTGGTATCTTGTTCAAAGCAGGACACCTGTGAGTCAAAGTTCTTTAGATTGTTCTACTTCTCACTCTCCTGTCTGTCAAATCTTGCATGAAGGATACTGAAGAACTTTGGAGGAAGAATTTTAATATGCTCATTTAAATGAGCAGTCTTGCTTAAACGTGAGTCACAACCTAACTTGTCATTTTCCAATTGACGTTTGCTGTCAAATACCCAATTCTGAGAATAAAAATTTGCAAGCTTAAGTATTCTTGAAGGAATGGTGAAAAAACATAAGATATTTGAAAACTTAAAATTTGTTTCTTCCATCATGACTATATCCTTCATAAATTACTACTTTCACTATTACAATCATTAGTAATGATAGTTATAACACAGTTACCCTTTTTTAAGACACTAAAACTTAGGATTTATTTTATGATGAAATATTACAGTTCTGAAGATTAGGTAATTTTTCCCAGGGTATAGAGCTGGTCCGTTTGACTATATAATCTATATTTGAAACTGCTTTATTAAATTGCCCATTTATAAAGGCATTTCCAGATATAGATGTGCTACTTTATCCCAAATGATTTGTATTTTATGTACTGTGGATCTTATGGAAGGTAAGTCAAGTGCAAAATTGTGCGGTGGAATCTGAGGGTCTGAAGTGTCATTACTAATCTGCTAGGAGTTTTTTTTTAAATATCTTTTTCATAATTGCATAGCATGTTGGTATAGACTAAGCATTTTGGTAAAATACTGATAAGGAAAGATTATAATCATAACAAATATATGACCCAGTGTTATATACAGTGATTAGTTCCTTCTGCAATATCAGATCTGTTATTCTGTAGAGACTCTTAAACTAAGAATTAACTGTGGATATAGCATCTCATGTTCTATATATGTATACATATATATATATTTGTTTAAAAAATGTCCTGCAGTATAAAACTCAGAGATCTTTAATTTGACAGTGGTTGCCTTGCAAGGGTAGTGACTGTTATTATAGTTCATTCCTATATTATTACTTCACATTCTTGATGCATTAGAACAGCAAGATTACCTATGGGGGTCTTTGGTGCTGGGTATGATGTGAACACATTCTCTTTTATAAAATGCTCTTTCTATCCAAGATTTCTGAGCCTGAAAAAGAGACAGAGAAGAAAGATGAGCATAATCTTTAAATGCTTTTGACTAGGAAGCAAAATTTCATAATCAATTACATGGTAGACTGGTATATCATAAATGGAATCAAAATTAGGGATATTTTGCACAACAACACTGCATATAATAAAATCCATGACTCCTAGATCCTGCTAATTAGGTTAACATAATAATTTTGAGAGCTAAGGGAAATAGCCAAGCTAAAAATGTTAATGGAAACATAAAAATTCATAATTTTTTTGTGGTGCTGAGGACTGAACTCATGGCCTTGCACATTCTAGGCAAGATCTCTGCTACATCTCCAGCCCTTCATAATGAGGTCTGAAGGTCAGGGAAAATGAATTTGGAAGGGTAGAGTGTTATGTTTGCAAATTTACAGAAGTCAAATTTTCAGTGGTAGGAAGAAATACATCTAAATGAGAATAAGATTTTCATGGCTAATCACCCATTAGATTTTCTTTACAGAAGGAAAGAAAAATGGTGGGGGAATTATACAACTCAAAAGTCCTAATCCATCACCATGCTTTTTCTAAAATCCAAATTAGTAATGCTTAAACACAGAGAGGGAAAAGGAAATGAAAACATGAGGAAGATGAATGCTTTCATCATAGTCCTAAATGTCACAGGTAATGACTTGGGAAAGACATAACACTTTTTCATCTACTTTTCTTTCCTCCCACATGCCGTTAAGCACATAGAGCAAATATAGCTTCTCAGAATGGGCATTGTTGGGACTGTCCACTCTGAAGTACTACGACTGAGATTGGGTTCCCAGATGGACAAAGGCTATTCCAGCAAACTGTAGAATCATTGTTCCAAAGCAGACTGTCTGTCCTGCATCCCTCCACCCCTTTCTTTCCCACCATTTGAAATAGTAGATAAGTCTCCCTTGAAATACAAGAAGCTCTTCAGAAAATTCCTTTTCTAAGCATTTAAGATGGGAATTGCTAGATCAACCTGTAAAGTTATTTCCTTATGGTATCATCTTCCCTGTAACCCAGCATCAGTTCTAAATTCATATTCTTAAAATATGCAGGGTTAAAGCACAACTGAGCTGTTTACTTGGCCTGTCTCAATCACTGATGTGAACTGTTACCAGCTCCCATATGTTGGTTGTAATTAATCTTAATTCTGCCTGGACTCCAATGTCTATAAGAGCTGTGTTGAGTCTGACTTGCCCCCACGCCCTTGATCTCGCACAATGGAGGTTGACTCAAGCAGGTTGCATGGATGACAGTAGTTCTTTTATCTTTGTGACAATGCTCATTTTACCAGTGGCAACATGAGGGATGGTTGAGGGCCACCAACGAAGTGCATCCTGTTTTAGTGATGGTCACAATTGATCACAATGGGTGTCCTTACATGGTGTGCATGTAAAGATGTACAGAGATCCGTAAGTCCAGATAGACCTCTGTACCCTCACGCCACAAAGGTAATATTTTCAGTTTTGTTTGTCAGCTGGCCATGAAAACAGCCTATTCTCAAAGATTTCTCAAACACATAGGAAAAAAGAGTGGCTCCATCTTTGCAACAGAAACGAGCTTAAATAGTAAAGATAACCAGGCTTTATCTTTGCAAAAAGCCTGTAAGGTAAACTATTCATAGGCCACAATTTTCCCTAGACACTGAATACTTTCATTGATAATATCTCTTGGCAGGAAGATGGTAAAATGTTCCTCAGTGGACATTTGAAACCCACTTACCCTACACCTCGGGAAACAGAAAAGGGAGAAAGAGCTTTTTTTTTTGGTAAGGGTTCACTCTATTCTGACAAGCTTTCAAAGGATCTTTTGGAGAAAGCATCTGTGAAATCTAGGGCATCCTTGAGAGGCATTTAAAAAAGCAGTATTATGGGTAGAATGTGAGGTTTGTGGTTGGAAAGAGTGGTATGAGTAGGAGTTGACATGATTTCTTTGATCCTCAGTTTTTTCATCTATAAAATGGGCACAGCAGGAATGCTTGACACACAGGGTTGATAGCACAATTTGGGGAATATCATGATTTCATTTCAAGGAGATGGGCCAGTTTTGGGTTGATCTGGTACTAAAAGTTCAGATGGAAGTTCAGATGAGGGTACTATGAAATTCCCATAGCAAGGACCAAGGTTGACCTCACTTGGACTGGGGATGGTAGAATACCTAGTTGGCCATGACTAAGGTGTAACATGTGGATCATCAGCTACTTTGTAGAGTTTTCTGATAATCAAACCAGGCAATTCAGATAAAACACCTGGCATACAATAAGAGTTCACTACGTCCTAACAATGGCTGATATTTTTTAAGGACTCATTATGTGCTTAGCCTAGATCTTCAGAAGAACTCTATAAGGGAAGTACTAACATTTTTTTTTTAGTTTATGTTTAACTTTACTAAATATAGTGCTCATTGTATATTTAGAATCCCAACTTCTTAGGAATACATGAAATTAAGAGTACTGTTTTTTATTAAAAACCAAATGAATATGCAATACTTAAGTGTTTACTTTATGAAGAAAATAAATTAAAAATCCATATGCTTATGCACGGACAACTGAAGAAGTACTAATATTCTAGCATTTTACCACTGAAGAAATTAAGACAGAAATGCAACAATTGAGTTTTAAAGCCAGGGCTTGAACTTGAGCAGCTTGACTTCAGAGCTCACACTTTCACCCATGTTGCTACACTGCCTCTCCAAAGGAGAGACTATTGACACTAAACATCCTTGATGTGGGCAGTGGTCACCTGGACATGCCTGGGAGTGCTTTTGCCTTGGGACCAAGCTGGACGTCTAGTGATACACCTAGAACCAGTCAGACTTGAACTTTTGCTGTCTCACCAACATTTTCCTGTCCTCACATATGGAGTAAGGAACACTTTGCTGTCTGTTCTGCCCTTTCTCCTTGGGGTAAAGCATGTGGGTGGGACACTAAGAGGACCTCAGAATATGAGAAGGAAGGTGAAGTCATTATCATGGCAATAGAAGGAAATTAAATCACAGCATGATTGTTAGGAATCCAGCGGACCTTGACAAATGGATTACACTTTTCAAAGACACCATCTTTACTTTTTCTCTCCTAGGTCTCAATTCCAATTTGGAAGGTCCTGGAAGTTTCTGTAAGATGATGTGTGGCAAAAATTACTACATATGGATTGTCAATGTGTTTTTTTTAGACCTTCAGTATAAAGTCAGATGGCTTGTGTGCAGTTTAGCAACTTAATTACTTTCTCAAAGGTGAAAAGCTGCACTATTGTTAGCAAAAGCATTGAGGATCTGTTTCTATTTCTTATTATTAGTGGATTAAGCATTTCCCTTGTCAAGGTATAGACAACAGAGAGGAAAACAGAAATATAAGGGAAAAGATCTTCTCATCTCTCATAATTGAATTAGATTCTTTCTGCTTTTGAGAAGAACAGTGTAATACATCATAAAAGAATACACACATAACACATGAGTTGGGAATTCTACAAAATATCATGCATAATGTACTATTCTCTATTGTGGGATTTGCTTTATTGGGCTTTTATTTGGGTCTTTAGTGTGGACAGATATTAGATTTTTAAAGTCATTTTCTTGGGAAGGGCATATTTGAATACTCATGGTTTTACTTGTTCCCTAAACTAATTCCCTTTTCTTTGTTCAAAGGCTTTGAAGTACTCTGCATGAAGCTTTATACTTTGCTCCAACCTCCAAAGAAGTTAGTGTGGAATGATTAGCTTCCTTGTTAGAAAGCATGAAATAATTTTGACGTGCCACCCTTCTAGCTGACCTTTTAATTCTCTTCTACTGTAAAATTTCAATGGACAGTTTGTCCTAATGTCTTTTCTTTTTAAATATGTTCCAGAAGTCTCCTGTCCTTTTAGAAAAGGTGGTATCAACTCTTGGAAAATCACTTTTATATGTTCTTTTCTAAAGGTAACATGTACACACAACCATGGCTGAGTTTGTGAAGGGCTATTTTCTTTCTGGTTTTTCTGCATTATCAGTCATGTGTGATGTGTAATAGGGTAGTGCTTTCCAAGGCTAATAATTAAAGGATACTTTATTCAAAACAAAATAAGGACATCCACATTTTGAACAAAGTATTAATGATTACCATCAAAGAATAAAGCAAATGTTAATTTGAAAATTACATGTACAGTAGAAAGGCCTCAAAAGTGATAGAAACCCCCCAAAGCTGTAATGAGTCATGAGTACATCAACCCAATCTTCTGTTTCCTTCCCCCCATACCATAAGGCAGCTTACAGCTTTCTTGGGAGTTACAGGATTTTATAAATTTAGATCTCTAGGTATGCAGTCCCTTAGCACACACCTTTTTATGCTCCTCCTAATACTCCTATTTGGGTCTAAAATAATAATAATAATGTATGGCCACCCATTTCTTTATTGCCTAAAAAAGAAAAACTAAGTCATTTCAGTTACACAGGTTTTACCTCTTTTTCACAAAGGCTGTGCTACCAACATTAGACTCCAAATTATTTTGAATCTTTTTCCTTTGCACTCCCTGCTAGCTATAGAATCGAGACCTTCTCCAGGAGGGAATGGTTTAGGAATATAAACATAGGGCATGTATTAAATCCCTCTTGAGAAAGTCTTTGAAAGTGCTATCATAATGTACTTTTTAACAGAGAAACTTAACAGGACAATAACCCAGACCAGTAATCACAAAATTAAAAAAACAGTACAGTAAGTTTCTAGAAAGAAATATAAGGGAAATTTCACCATGGCTTTGCCTGCCACATTCTCCTGTTTCAGAGGGACACACTGTCTTCATTAGAGCAAAACACCAAAGACCTAGAGGGACTGAATGTATTTGTTCACTTTTGCCTTTTGCTTTCCCTCAACAGCCCTCTGGGTAATCCTTTGGTTTTCTTCTAGGTCCCCAGATCCAACACTGAGAAGTTGAACAAGAGAAAAGTTAGCTGAAATCATTTTACCTGCACACTGATTCTGGCTGGTGGCAAAGGCAGTCCCGGGAGCGGCTCCTGTGGCTTTCATTT